CCATGGGACAGCAATGAGTCACGCTCCATTTCTCCAAATCTGACTCCACCCCCTCGTCGTCTGCCTTTCACTGGCTGATGGGTCAGCACATCAATCGGTCCTGTACTGCGTACCTGTGGAACACAAACTGCCAGATCACCAACTCATACCAAACAATTCCCAACTAAAATACAATGGCTTCATAAAACATTATGAACCATGTCTCTCCCCTCATGACATTAAAAACAGATGTAAAACTTAAAATTGAGAGAGAGTAGTAGGGAGGAGAAAGGGGGAAGAGGTATGAAAGATAAAGGAATCAAGAACAGCTACGACTCTGTTGAGGCCTTCTGTGAAAACTCGTAGCTCTACTGTCCAAATCTAGTAAACTGGTACCTCAATAAGTAATTAATTTATAGACATTATTATCATTATAATACAACATCAACACATATAGAAACAAGTGTTTACCAACAAATACACATTTGCAAGTACAAAGTACTAAAAATAAAATAAGAAGCTCTGGCATTTGAAACTATAAGCACACAAACTTAGAATTATATCACTCAGTCTGAATGTAACAGAATAATAGCTCATGATCTAACCTGCCACTTGTCAGACACCATGTGTCTCAGCCTTTGATAGTGAACTATACCAAAGAAAATGTCGGCTTTCATTTCACATCCATCAATACCACTGTACATTTTCTCTGTGCTGTAATAATTATAACCTCCTGAAAAGTAAAAATTTGTTTCTAATAAAATATTACATACAAGTATATAAATTTACATCTACAAAACAAACAGATAATTCATACTGTAATATAATATACTGTTCATGCCATTCAAAAACAGAACTAATGTTTACAGTGCTTTCATATCATAATTTCTTGAGTAACAGTAAAAAGTTATACTTGTCCCAGTATCTAACAACATGCCTTAAAAATATATGGGGAAGTGGAGACAGAGCTCAGTGCTTTCTTATTCTCTTCACCAGATGGAGGTGAGTGATGAGCTGCAAGCATCAGATGCTGTAAGAACTCATATTACCCACTGAATAGGAGGCTGGGTCAGTTCCAATACCAGTTTGAACATGGCAATAAAGAGAACAATTTCTGTTCTTACCAGAAATTAAACATTGGGCATGCAGCCTATAACCAGTCATCTTAGCTCATCAAAATATACTTAACACATAAATATAATGTAGACATGAACTCTGAACCATGGTATGGAGTCTAGTTCTTCCTACAAGGAACAATATCATGGTGCAAGCCAACAAATTTTGTCAACTATCTCTCCCTTTTATAGGATAAACACATCAGTTGGCACTGCACTGGAAACAATCTCAGAAAAAAGTTTAAATTTACTTCCACCTCCACTTCAATGCCAATATTTATGGTGGACAATATATGGTCCTCTAACAGGGTTTGCCTATATAAAACATATGTATTTTCCCAGTGCTTACTGCTTAATTCTATATGCTTCTTCTAACAGTTAAATATCATGTAACCACTTCCTGACACAATATGGAAGTATCATTCTGTAAATTTTTTTGCCCATTGCTCACATCCTACTTCTGCTCAAAAATTACACCATGCCACCATAAAGCGAGTGTATATGAAACAAAAGAACAGTGCACCCATACTAACATCATTAAAAATACTGGGTACTTTGAAAACTTGCAATATAAATATTCATGTAGTAGAACATTCTGTTTATGATTATATTTCATTTTCTAGGTGCTATCGTCTATATCTAATCTTATATTTGCAAGATATGATAATTTTATGATTCAAATAAAAGTTAGTTAATTGCACAACTTGCATAAAGATATCAGAAAACAAAACAAATTGTGTTTATACTTAAAATTATAAAAATGTTGTACATATGAACTGTTTACCTGCTTCCAGCATTTTGCCAAAGTAGTCAATTGCTGTATACTCTTCCGAAAACCTGAAAGGTGCAGCATCATGGACCAAACCATGTAATACAGCAGACTTCCCTGCCATTACCTCAATCATCATGGCTGCAGGGAAATACATTTTTACAGTACAATTTAATTTGTACTTTTTAAATGACAAAATAAGAAGCTAAGTAGTTACAAGACTGATTTTTCCAGTTGCCAATACTTCTAATATGCAGTAAAATATTAGATATGTAAAAACATACTTTGCCATATATTACTACTGAACATATACTTTTTTAAGTGACCATGAATAAAAAGTATAATGACAGTTTATTCAAGATCAAGAAACCTCCAAAAGAGGCAGCCAAAACACACACTGGGTTGTAGAGCCACAAGAAGAAGGTGGTATATCTTGAACTAAACAGAAGACAGACAAAAAAGAAAATAAAGGAACAAGAAGAAAAGAAATGCTAATCTTTTATATGTGACTCATTATTCTATTATAAGATATGACACACTTTGATAATTTCCTTTCCAATTTAAAAGAACACATGCAGCTCTGAATATGTTACTTGTAAACTTCCAAATTTCCTCCACATTGATTTACAAGCAGTTCACTCACCAATTGTCATTCGAGAAGGGAATCCATGTGGATTGAACACTATATCTGGAATCAGACCAGTTTCTGTGTATGGCAAGTCCTCTTGTGGCCAAAGGTAACTACAGATTCCCTTTTGACCAGCCCGACTTGCAAATTTATCTCCTACAGATGGATTACGCTGAAATACATTACATCACTTACATAAAATGTGAAAACTTTATATATAAAAAAGGAATACAAAAAACAACTACAGCTACAATAACCAATAAAAATCTTACTGGTATCCTGAAGACAATGCAGGCTTTAGTTGCTTCTTGAGCAGACAAGTTTCCACACAGCCTTACATTGTCAATATATGCATCTTCTTTCCCTTTCCATTTTTCAATACGAAATTTTGCTTCATCATCATCATAATAGCTGTTAACATGAATTAACAATACATAGAATATGTCATCAGGAAGTTACAGGAAAATCAGGAGTGACGGGAACTGAATAAAATACATCATATTCTGATCTATGCTGATGTTAATTTTGTGGGTTAAAACCAAATACCATAACAACACAGAAAGCAATGAGGGTTGTCCAGAAACAATTGTAAAATGAGCCAATTGGTTACTAGTTTTGACCTTACACAACTGATTAATCTCATGGAGCAGAGTAACTCTTGAGAAGCTGATAGTCAATCAGCTGATCAAGAAATTGCCTACCTTCTATGAAATCAAAATAACCACGTACCCAAGAGCCTGCTATTAGATCGTATGGAGAGGCAGATGAATCAAAGAATTTCTATGAAAGCAATGGCACTGTTAACATAATGTTATCTTAGAAATTAAATAAGAACTATAAATACAACTCATCATAACTAAATAATAAATTTACAGATGCAATTCTCAAACCAGTATCAGGTACACAGCATACTCTCCTAGGTAAGAAGAGAAATGAGGATAATAGACAGGAACTACAAATACTTATTCCTCACCAACAATAAGATTGTCCTTGTTTGAGCAACACACCAGGGTGTGGCAATCCATCTGAATCCAGGAAAGTCTGTAGCTCTGGTCTTTCAGGATCTAAGCCAAAATATGACTTTTGCTGAAAGCAAGAAACTGCAAATTGTTACCTCTAATCACATTCCACTAATATGCCTATCCAGTTACCATGGCCATATTAACATGTACTGGCAATAAACACATTTGTTAGCCTCGTTCAAAATGCATTACAAACTTAATATACAAATGATTTTTGAATGTTCATTTCCTATTTTGAAGCTTGTACCTGTGGAATATTCTTAATTGCTAACAAAGTCTTTCTTTTTTAGTTAAATGAAAGTAAGACAAGGAAGATCGTGTAACCAGTAACCAACAAATCCATTCACTGTAAACACTTTACTTATGATACACATTGAGAATTTCATCTCAGATAAAGCAATAGATAAGCTGCATTATGAAACCAATAAAAATCATATAAATTTCATGCCATCAATAATACTACCACTGAAATGCCACATATGTGCAAGGTGGGAGCAACACTTACACCCACTACCAGCACACAAAGATAAAATCCTGAAATGTTATCATAATAGAGCTTCTAAAAAACAGATGTTGTTAAGTCAGTCTCTTTGTTAGAAATGTATGGCAGCTACATTAAATTTTTCATTGTTATATTTATTTTCCATAGTAATATTAACAAAGCATTGGAGATAGACATGTAAAATTTTATATGGTGATATATTATAAGCATACCTACCAATTTTGTATTAAGTGTTTTCTTTTGCTAATAACTGCCAAGATGGATATGATGCAAATTTCTGAGACTCTGTTGCTAAATTTAATGTAAATGGAGTGTGTTCTTGGATGAATTATGAAAAGAAACTATTTAGCAAGTTTCATAATTATTACTGTATTATTCTTACTACCCACACCACACAAACTGAAAAATCTTAATCAACGTAAACATCAAGTTTTCCCAAGAAATTTTTGTTAAATATTTCCATGTAAGTACTTGAATGAAGTACTACAAGTTTATGGACAAGCAGACTTTATTTTATTAACATCTTTCTGGAGCCACAACTCCAATGTTTATATATTTAAAATACAGTTATCTGAGAGGCAATTATAACTTACAGACTTCAGCTCGACAAACTCAGATTTGTAAACACAGCCATGAGCAAAGCCTCGCTCATATGAAGCTTTGTTGATTATCATGGCATCTTCCATATCATAGCCCTGAAATCAAAATAACATCAATAAAATTAATACATAAACACTTCTTTCTACTGTTCACTGTCTGGGGTCTACACTAAAAGCTATTGGGAGAGTTTAATTTTGGTCTACATCTCTTGAAACGGCTTGTTGTATATAAGCATCATGTATTAATAACATAAAATATAGATATTATTAAAACATACAACTAACTCCGGTATAAGTTTTGTTTATAGGATTAAAAAACAAGATTCATAAGAGTGCCATGCACAATACATCCTTAAAAACAAACAAAAAATCAAGGCATATACAGCATGCCCCCTCCATGCTTAAAAGTTTAACAGATGATCTGCAGAACTTCAATATCTACTGTAACATTTCATTTGGTTCTTCTATGTGGTATAAATTTACTTACTGTATAGGAAATAACAGCAACAACAGCATTAGTTCCCATTGCAAACTCATCTAGACCAACTAAGTCATAGTGACCTGGTCGAAAAAATGGACTTGCTGGTGTCTGAAGTCGGTAGAGCTTACACTCAGCTTGTAGATGCCAGGTGTGACATGGAGTTCCCATGGTTTGTTTCCCCATCTACATCAGAAAGAAAAACACAAATCCAAAAATACATATACTTCCAGAAGTTTCAAGTATGTGTTTACTTTACATCAGTAGTTCTCGGGTTGGTGTATCTGCTATTCATAACAAAAGAATCTGTAATGGTCAATTTTAAATTTTCCCATGTTTGATTTTATTAACAAACTTCTTTTGAAAGTACTTTTCAAATTAAATTAGTTGCTTTGCTGTAAAATACCTGTAGTTCTTTACAGTAAAAGTACATAACATTATTTATTAATACAGATACCTTCTGTCAATACAAATCTTTCAACAATTTATCAATACCATTAGGCCACTGGACCATATTTTCAGCCTGTGCAATATAGTTCACATTGTAACAACCTATTTCCCTAAGATACATTATAATATAACAGTCACATATACACAGTACCTTAAACCAGTGTGCCTACGGGTACTTTTGAGAGTTTATGAGATCGTGGGGGGCACCGACCAATTAACAAAGCCAAATTTTCTTTTCTCTGGACAAATAAGATATGGACACCAAATAATACACAAAAAAACATGACGTTTAATGATACAAGACACTATGCAATCAAAAATACGTAGTTTTATAAGTACAATTATTATTACTCAAGTGGGAGGTTAGTGTGATGTTTGGCACTGCATTTCATCGGCCAGTTTTTCAAATTTGGGAGTGTAGGATGACGTTGCTGCTCGTAAACAATCGTCAAGATGGGCATCAGTAAGTAGAGATCTGTGCTTTGATTTTATAATGTTCATGGTTGAACGGCCTTCATCATTCAGTATAACGTCTTTCTGTAACAATGCGGGCACCCAAAAAAAGCCTTGGCGGGTACCATGGCTCCCGCGAGCACCGCGTTGGGGACCACTGCCTTAAACTGTCTCTTTCCATGTAGGTCTTTAACAAAAACAATGTGTTTCTTGCGTCTCTGTTGTATACTATGTCTGGCCCACCTCATCTGTTTAAATTAATCACATTAACAATATCAGGTGATTAGTACAAATCAAGTTCTTTTCTTGTAATTTTGTCTCCTCTCATTTGATCTTATTTCAGTCTCTATAGCACTTTGTTTTCAAATACCTTCTACCTCTATTAAATTGCTATAGACATTTATGAGTGCATTTGTTTACCTGACACTGGTACATGTTACGTGGACTCTGATTGCAGTCTGGCATTGGAATAAGGCATGCCAAATTGCTTAGAAAACTGGTGTCTGTCACTTCCTGGTGAGTAGTTATCTGCAATACAAGAAGAGCATAACATCATACTTACATTGTTGATCACTAAGAAGACTTCATAATGTTTGCATTAAAAAAAAGTATAAGGAAAATTTTGTAAGCATGATTAGGCCATGATGAAATTGTGTGTGTGTGTGTGTGTGTGTGTGTGTGTACAAGGCCTGAAAAATAGTTATCCATTTGTGGTTTGATTTTGAGAGCTGGAAAGCATAAAATCATAATTATCAATTATATAAGACTTCACAGATGTTCCAGCAAACATAAAGATATCTATATTTTTCAGCACAGAATAGTTAAAAGTTAAAAGGCTATATGCCCTCTGTTAACCACAGTACACATTCAGTATCTTATTTCAAACTGACTGGTTACAATTCTAAAACCTTAAAACATACTTGTTTAAAAAATCCTTCCTATTTTAAAGCAAAAATCAACTTAAGGTATGCCAGACAGCTTCAAATAATTTGGCAGCAGAAGGGTTCAACTCTTATGAATAGTTAACAAGACATTCTTTTTAAGATTTTGGAGCAGCAAGTGAACTTTCAGTCCGGTATACTATTCTCAGCCTGTGTATGTGTTTGTACAGGGTAACTCACAAGGAGTCTACCAAACTTTGTGGGTACATAAACTATGTGATTTAGAATTTAACAAGTAATACCAGCATGGGTCCAATTTGGAAAAATTAAAGAGTCATGATAAGTAAGATAAATATGTACCAGAAATGTGGGATTTCAATGAAAAATGTTTCAGTAATGTCAATGTGAAAATGAAATAAAGTGAAATGTACCAAGTCTGTACAAGCAGAAGGCATGCCACTGCTGGGCACAGTGCCATCAGCTACTTCAGCAGAAAATTGCAGTAATAGACCATGGTCAAGTGTGTATACAAGTACAGACAGAGAGGATGATTAATTTTTGTAAAATGCTTCTTTATCCAATATTACTTTATTCCAGTTTCACACTTTTGTTTTGCAATTTTTTTATTAAATCCCTCATAATTTTAATCAAATATAACAAACCCCTTCATATGCTTCTTCTGGATAGATACAGATGTCCATATAAACTTGCTCAAAGGTGCCAATGAGTTCAACTTTTTTTGCAGCCAGGTTGATGACTGGGCGCATCATACGAGCTGGTCCAGTGAAGAGGAACAAGCCTGGAAACTGTCCACACTTTCTTCCCATTGGAACTAGAACAATCTCTAATGTACGTGGTACTCTTTTGCCAACTATCTTCAAAAATCGTAGTTTATCTACTAATCTCCTAGCTTCTCTTTTCTCGACATGTCCTAGAACTCGGCCATCAAGCAACACAACAAACTGTTCGTTATGGTTAAGGGCAATAAGTCTGACACCTTTAAGGGGGACCATTCCTAAGGACACCAACAAAGATGGAATGTTGGCAACTAGCCTTGGGTCAGGAGTACTTGTCACTTCACAGTATTTAGTCAAATGATTCAGCAACCCACAAGGTGCCCCATCAGGTGTGTGGACAGGACAGATGAACCCTGAAAAAATAACACATACATATATATATACGATATTATTCAAATTATATATGTGGACTTCAGTTTGACTAGCATAAATGGAACTGAAGGACAGGGTGCTTCATAGAAACGTTCCTTAATTCAGAGGTACATTTTCAACTTTCAGAAACAATAACTCTGTGGAGCCTATTGCAGAAGGTGAGTAGCACCACTAACATACATTATGTTTTCCTGGCAATCGCAATCCAGGCAAAAAGAGCTAAAAATCAAAGTAAAGGCAGATCCTGAAAGGGATGGGTACCTCAACATTGACATCATTCCAAATTAGGAGTGAATATCACCAGCATCTCCTCTCATGTCAAAGGTGGACAGTCAGACTGTCAACAAGATGTTTTCACATGTTTACAACAAAAAACAGAACATCCAATTCAACCGTAGAAAGTAAAAGATGAACATAGACAAACAGTAAACCTCACCCCAAGCTTCAGGCAGTAGCTGCCGTGGTTCAGAAGTTCTCATTTCCTGGAAGAATGAACCTCTGTGTACAGATCGAAAGTGGGACATGTAACGCATCCGATTGATGTTTTCAGCCATAACAGTTAAACCTAGAAACACGCAAGACAAATTAATTAAAATATTACCAGCACATTTTCTGACAAATTGTTTCAAGTTATAAAAATTCCAGAAGTATGAACAAGGAACTCTTAATCAAGCAATCTATCTTTTGGAATGTTTACTGTAGTGTGTTCATTTTTACACACAAATATTTGAATATCCATTACACTTGTCCGATTTGGCTCTGTGTAACTTTCACATTCCAGAAACTATAAATCTGCTTAAAAGAATCAGACCAATGCAATGACAGTATTGAAAGTACTTTTGAAAAAGGATTTCCAGCAATGGACAATGGAATGCATGTATAAACATGTAAAGTGAGTTCTTTAAAAGTGACCACACTCACAAAATACCTGAGGTTCTCAAAGCAATGAAAATGATTAAATTGGTCTTGTGGGTGTCTTGTGCAAATGGAGTTCTACACAGATGAACACTGAAAACTGCATATTAATACAGATAATGACAGAGCTACAATGTAACTGGTAGCACAGAGAAGTTTCATCACAGCAAGCTGATGTAAACAGTTGTAACCAGGACTCCATTTTGTCCATCTTCTTTCTCTCTTCTGGACCTGTCAGTCTCATTAATACTATCAGGTGGGAAAACATGTTTTTCTGGTGTTTGCCCTTTGGAGAAGGGCTGAAGTTGTTAAGAGATGTGGAATGTACCTTTATCCTGCATAAGTCCTAATCCTGATGAACTGAAAACATTTCCAGTTGCAAGGAATGCGTTCATTGCTGATTCTATAGTTCCACTTCTCCTTAATGCCCAATTCACCTCATCTACAAATGTGACAGAACTATCATAAGCCATACAAAACATTAAATTAATAAGCAAGTAAATTTATGCAAATTACTAACTTCTAATGTTATTCAAATCCATTTTTATTACTACACTGAGCCAACAAGACTGTTTCTACTAGGCCTCACACAACTTAATCTGACGAGTGCTCAGATATATTTTATTCTCCTCCTATATTTCTTTTTGGTACAAATATGAAAAAGTCAGTGTTCAGTTTCTGAGGCCTGTTTTCGGAAATATAAGGAGAGATATGATAAAAGTAGTGACAATTAAGAAATATAAAGAAAATTAATCATTTATCAATTATGTGTTTAGCAGAGTAATTAATTTACATTACTTTTTTAACTTACTTGTATTTAGGATGAAACCAACAGTTGTTTTAGCTTTTTTCAGAATTACAGATTTAATAACCTGCAGCCATGTCTGCATTTTATCTTTCAGTAACTGCAGGTACAGATGACCTCCAAGAAGTAATTCATGCATCATCAACCCATCTGCACCTTCCACACAACATTTGTTCTGTACTACAGAAAACAACTTCTGCATCATCATTATGTACAAGTTGAACTTGTCTTCATTGTTCTCCAGATGAATTGCCAGAGAGTGCCTAACAACACAATGTTTCAAAACACCTTCAAACATATACAGAGTAGATTGGAAACCAGTAACCTAAAGAACTTTCAACCATTATCAATCCTAAAAAGTTCTAGTTCCTCTAGTCTTACCAGCTTTAACATATATATAAAAGCAGTCACAATTTAATAATTACTCACTTAATTATAAAATCACATATTTCTTCATCTGTTGTCCAGGGGGGTACATCATAGAATCGAACTTTGAATGTTTTGCCAATGTATCTCTTTGCTTCATAGTGAGTATGAATTCCCTCTTCATGCATGGCTTGCATCATATTCATCACACATCTAGACAGGGCAAAACGAAAAGTAACAAAAAATTAATGTCACAGCTACTGCACACTTACTGAAAGTACACAAGTACATGGTAGCTCAAAAAATGTTCTGGGTGTAATCAAATATGCTGGGATCTGCTTGTACATGGAAAGAGATAATGCCATGGAAAAGCCTTCACTTTTGACCATGTAGCAAAAATATGGCAATATCAAATTTGTTGCTGTACTATATTTTGTCATTTCTTGTATTAAATTTTTGATAAGCAACAGATCACACAACACAAAGAATGCTCTGAGAATGTAAACTTCAAAAGGTAAATTTATCCATGCCCAAGCAATGTAGCACATATGTGTCAAAGAAAACAGAGGTATACCCCAATTTATATTTAAAGTAGAATCTCCATATAAAAAGATTTGGGCAACCAAAACATGTAGATTTGTTATATATTATATTTTATGTTGTACAGTATAGTCCAGTAAATACTGAATGATGTTTCTGACAATTTAATTGCCTCCATCATCAAGAGCATAATATTATCTGTTTCCTAGGGGTGAAGGAAACCACTTCTATGTGGTGCCTGCCATAATTGAGTTAAAAAATCTATTTAGTTTTGAAATGGATGGAAACATAAAAATATCCATGGATTAGATCCCCAAGCTACTCTAGTTGCGCAATTATTGGTAGTTAAATTTGCACCACCACTAGGTTCACTGAAGAAAATGCAGTCACTATCATCACATTGTTAAACTGATCAGAATTGGCATAAAACTATAAAACTGAAAGACTTACCCTTTCATGTAGGTGTCATCTTCATAACCTGCCATGAACTGGTGTATTATGTATTCATCAGAGACATCAAGGAGACACTTCAGGATCAGCATGATGGGTGTATAATAAAGATTGAGCTTGTGGCTGAACATCAGTTTTGCTGAACCATCTCTCACAAAATGCAGCACATTGTTCTGTAGGACAGCATAAAAAACATACTTATTCAGTTTATCCTCTTGTTATTTACAAAAACATTTCATCTTATTAGTCTTCACTGTGCCACTTCTTGATCAGGCCTTTTATACTAACTGTTGTAGTTTGATCATCCTTGACACAGCGTATCATAACACCCAAGTCAGAAAACAGGTTCCCACGCTGCTTCCAAGATGTCCTAGTTACAGTTAATGGATAATTCCTCCGGGTCAACTGCAGCATCCGGACGATACGCTCATGTCCTCCAAGTATAAAATACCCACCCCATTCTTCTGCATGTTCCCCCTTTTCTATCAGTTGCTTGGGAGTCAGTTTTGATAGATGGCATATGTCTGACTGAAGACAAAAACAAGAAACAACAATGTTACTAATGTATAAATAAGAAAGAGATACTCAGAGCAAATGTATAAAAATGCATACAACAGTATTTGTTTAGGATTCAGTTTTGTTAGAGAATATATTATTAAGCCTGACTAAAGGGAAAGGAAACATTAAAGCTACTATACTAGAACCATCTATAAAATAACAAACTGATGAATAAATGTCAGATTTTTAAAAACAAATGCACCAAATATGACTTTCAGATTCAGTCTCAAGATATGGCAAAAGTCAATAATATAGAGAAATTTGTCTCAGAAATATATATAAACAAATTTAAGGTCATACTGATAAAAATACAAGCATCGGGCATATAATACTGGTATCTATAATCACATAATATGAATAAAAGCAAAAGAATGATATGAAATAAACAACAAAAACAATACCTTCACCATTATTGGGATCTGCCCCAAATCCTTCTCAATAACTGCCATTTGAACACCATTAATTTTAAATGACAACTGTGTTATGAGGTGTCCCCTGTATGTAACTCCACGCTGCCGACATTCAGTAGGGAATATTTTTGGTGACTTTACACCATATGAACCATGTGGAACAAGAGGTGAACATAATTTTGCACTCTGTAAGAAAAATTATTTGTGAAGTATTAGTGTACAAATACATTTGGTCTTCCAGTGAATAGAACCATTCCTATGTGAACCTTGTTTTCCAGACTACAACAAAACTCATGAATTTCTTTCCAGTTCATATTATTCAACTTTAGAAGTGCAAACATAAAAAATCTGAAATTTGTTGTAAAAATACATTTCACTTTTATATCACTGTAATGTAAGAACCAAGGAGAAGACATAACAGCAAAGATAATAAATTGGTGCTGAGGCTGCTGGTTATTGATTTATTTAATGACATTTTATCAGCTATGCTGCTCTTACAGGATGTTCCTGAAATACAAAGCAGAAATTCAAGGGTATGTTCTGTATATAAAAACAATTAAAAATGTCTAGTAAACATCTATACCAAATGCTTATTCTGATATATCTCTATTAATAAGTGGAATATCCTCCACTACATATTAATAGTTAAACTGCCATGCCTCATCAATGAAGTCTTGATTTCAGTAATGGCATTTATTCCACACCAAATTATTATACTGACCTGGCCTCCTTGAATCAGGAAGTGGCATTTTCTTCACTGCAGATATAATACTGTAAATGTTATAACAGCTTCAATAATGAAAACAGAGTTCACCATATGAAGGTGTGACTGACAGAAAATAAGCTTTGTGACATGTATTCTGCTCTCTACATTATAATCCTACACTCCATGTTGACAAAAGGATGCAGGAACAAATGCAGGAAATTATAAACATTTTGGAATAAATAGTCTCAATGTAAAAATATGAATAACGTTTACTGTATGCAACATAATAAATATAGAAAAGAGATGGCATATGAAACAAAATTAATCACATACTGCCAGAAATTTGAGAATGACTACAAGACACACTCAGCATACACAGAACTAATGGGCCAATTATGACAAAACTTACAAATACTTTGAAGGCAACTGAGTTCAAGAGAATGGTGATATTGTTTTTACAAACAGAATTATTAATAAACTGTGACAGCTAAATAAAAATTGGGAACATCTGAACTAAATACGGAGAAAAGAAAAGGGTTTGAACGGTTATTTGAGGAATTTTTCATATACATACAACAGTCAGTACAAGAATAAAATATGACATACCTCCAACTTTATGCTGATGCGATCATCATTCTGCAAACAAAATTCTGTAGCTAAGATATCATTTACTGCTTTATCAAGCCCTTCTCTTAGAATGTAATTAAATGACTCCACGTGTGGGGCCCCGAGCGACTGAAGCAACTAAAACACGAGTAAAAACACGTGAAAATACACGGATAACTCTAACCTAAAAATAATTATATTCATTAAAATGAATGAACAGTGTCACAAGTTCTACTATTATCGACAAATACATACATCATCCTGCTTCTGTGGAATTCTTCCTAAATCTGTAGTTAAGTTTTTTAACGAAGGTTCCACATCTATATACTTAAAATCTGAAAAAGACATTTTCTTCGTCCCGGCCAAATTTATATTATACACGCCACGAATACGTCCAGTAGACCACCGCAATCATAGTTAAAAACTGAGTTGCTAGTGCTTATCACAGAAGAGTTGTTTCTCGGATAAGCTATGGTGCCGTTCACAGGTTATGGATGGTTGCTTTGGGTGTCATAATTTTGTAACTTATGTATAATGAATGAATAATTACTTGCAAAATTAGGTTTACTTGTAATTAAGAATGTCAAGTAATATGGCACACAGTACAGAACTGATACAATTTGAAGTTGATACTTTTTGAAGTGCGGTTAGGTGTGTTTATTGGCATATTTACACCAAACGGTTGTAGTACTTGCGGAATTTAAAGTAACTGAAATTATATTTTTAACATTGACCCTTCTTTGGAAGGCTATTCATTCAAAAACAAATGACAACTTTAGAACTGAAGGATGCAAAAACCGTACCTGATCCTATTCGTACATATCCAAAAAATGTTCGAAACTCGTCAGTGCCTCTTGTGATAGACAATGGTAAGTGTGCTGATTTTGAAATTGTATTATAAATGTAACTTTGGAATATGAACTATAATTAGTTTTTTTCTTCTTTCATTAGGGTCATACCAATGCCGAGTTGGTTGGGCAACACAGAAAGAACCATTGCTTATATTCAAGAATTTAATTGCAAAACCTAGAAAGGAACGTGGCAAAAAGGTAATGATATAAGTGCTGAGGTGAGAATTAATAGAACACAGAGGAGCCAGATACATGTTATATTTATATACATAGCCAGCACATTTAATGATACACAATAGAACAAGGGCTTGATGTAGGTGGTAAACATTAAGATATTTGTCTGTTCCTATGTAAACCTAATTTAGTCACTTAATTCATATCTTTGTATCTTTGACAGTTTTCGAAACTGTTAAAAACTATCTGTGTACATATTCCTTATATGATATGGCTTTGCGATGTTCCATTAACCTGACATGCACATGGAAAAAAACCCCACAAACATAACCTACAGTTATTAGTGATATGACCTCTATAATCAGTACTTCAAGTTAGATCACAATAATTTTCACAGCAGTGAGTCCAAAGATTGCTGTCTCTGGGTTATTGTACCATGTAGTCTGGTAGATTTCCACCAACATTTCAGAGGCAGTATGACCTCTGAAAAATGGAAAATGGTCAAACCCAACAGTATTTTAAATTTTGCATTGAAATAAAACCAAAATATTTCTCTGCACAGGATGGTGAGACTCAAGTTGGAAATGACATCACAAATGTTGAAGCAGTCCGATTCCAGCTCAAAACCCAGTTTGATCGAAATGTTGTAACACATTTTGAGGCTCAAGAGCAGGTGTTTGACTACATGTTCACACACCTGGGGATTGACACTGAAGGTCACATTAGCCACCCAATAGTTATGACAGAGGCATTCTTGAATCCAAACTATTCACGGCACTGTGAGTCATATTATGTTAAATATTTCTGATCATTATGGTAAACAGGCATTGCTGAATACCTGTTTATGATATAAATGATCAGACTGTAAATTTCTCAGTTTCAGACATCTCAAAACAAATTAATAAACCATAAACCATGACTTCATCATCAAAGTGACATGCTAAAAACACATAGGATTGTATGCTGTTTGAGATTTAGCACAATTTTATTGAAAACAACTTTACTCTTATTTCCTGTCAATGAGGAGTTGAAGAATAACATTTGATGTGTTGTTAGTAACAGTATTTTTCATATTACAGTGATGTCTGAACTTCTGTTTGAATGCTACGGAGTTCCAAGTGTGTGTTACGGTATAGATGGCCTATTTAGTTTTCGATATAATAATCCAAAGTGTTCTGCTGCATTAATCATAAATTGTGGATATCACACAACTCATATTTTACCAGTGATAAATAATCAAGTAGATCTAACACGAAGCAGACGGATTAATGTAGGTGGTATTCACATCATCAACTACCTGCATAGGTTGTTGCAGCTTAAGTACCCAGCTCACTTTGCAGCCATCACTCCAAGCAGGGCTGAGGTATGTGGAAGTTTAATTTTCCTGAGTCTAGTTCTCTAGTTTTCTCTCCTCTGACACCCCCCCCCCCCCCCCCCCCACACACACACACATACACACACCTTTCATTCCTCTGCCAAAATTTATCCCCTTTCCCCCCCCCCCCCCCCCCCCCAACTCCACTAATTTCTATGGCCATATCAAGTTGGTTCCTTATCACCACAACAGCATCCTCAGATGAGGAGATCATCTCCATATATGAAGTGAAATTAATGCACTTTTGTTACTGTTATTGCAATGAATAATGCTTTGTATAACTCAGAATTCCATATCTTTATACCTCTCTTTTTAGGAGCTTGTACATGAACAGACATTTATAGCTGTGAATTACCAAGAAGAATTAAGTCTTTGGGCAGATTCGGACCACTATGATGATAATGTGCGGCGCATTCAGTTGCCCTATATTGTCCAAACAGTTGCACCTGGTCTTACACCTGAACAACAAAAGGAACGGCGTAAGGAGCTAGCAAGACGACTCATAGAAATAAATGCACGCAAACGAGAAGAAAGGGTAAGACTATTACCTCCTAATTACCTTATCTGTAATTATGTCATATTTTAATAAAACAAATCGTAGGGTGACCAGATTTTAATGTGTGCTAATTATGATTTAGATTTACTTGTGTGTTTCATTTTCAAGGGGCAAACTAAACAACAATCACATACAATACAGAAATGAAATCAGAAACAGATGATAGTTCCTTCCTAACCTCCCCCATTATACTGAAGTCAAGGTCACCCTGGATGTTAGTCTTTTGTTAAGTATTCAATTTATGTGTATGTACTGTCAGTTTTTCTTCTTCAAAATTTGGTTGCCTCAGCACAGAATAGGATGATTTAGTCATGCAATACAGGAGAACAACTGCAATGTTTTATAGCTTTCAGTTTTAAAGTGTACTAAAACCCTAACTTTAAATAAAGAGGAGTGAAATTTAATGTCTGATCTTACGTAAAGCTAGCAGAAGATGAAGAGCAGCTGAACCAACTTCTAGCTGCACAAGATTTAGAAGAGGGAGAAGAAAATGAATTTCAGGTAAGAGTCTGTTAATGCACAAAATTGAACAGTAGAGTCATTAAATTCTTATACTTAAAAATGTGTTTTTTACAGAAAATACTAGACTTTTATGAGTTATCAAGTGGAAGTGATCTACAGAAGCTGATTAGCCAACTTCAGGCCAGAATTGAAAGAACAAAACAGAAGATAGCTGCAGCAAACACTACTGAAGACAGTGTGACAGAGGTAACCACAAATTCTGTAATCACACAGCAATTCTGGAAAGTATTGTGATGATGAAACTTTGTTTTATGCCAAGCTATTTCTTACAGGACCCTAAACCCAAAATTTTAAAACAAAATGTAAAACCAAAGGATGAAGAAGACTTTGAAACATGGATTGCAAGAGTAAGGAAGAGGAGGTATGAGAATACAGTATAACACATTTTATTTTATCTTTGAGCTAGATGACTAACCATAATTAAGCAACTAAGTCCCATGGTACATAATCTTTCTTGAAAACCTGATAATTAAGTAGCTAACAAGAAATTTCCTTCCCTTATGGAATCTCAAGGTTGATAGCCATATTAACAGAATACTGCCATTGAACACTGTCGTCTTCCAGTTTAATACAGTCCATACTTCATATTGTATTTCTCTGTGATACAGTATATTTAATATCAGCCTCCCATCTACAACTAGTTCTCTCTCTGTGTCTTTTCCTTTGTGTTTTCAGAACAAGGTCACCATATACATTTCTCATACTGACATACAAAGGGGCATTGTATTTTCTTAGTTCTGCTAAGATAGAATCCTCATTAATCCCATCAATTTGAAGTTTTTAAACTACAAAGAGTGAATAACATCTAAAAGGTCACACATTTTCAAATATTGGTATTTTCATTACTCACATTTCCTGCAGTAATCTGATGTGAATTTTTAAGACAAGAGATTTTGGAGAGACGCAATGCTCGACGTCAACGCCGACAGGACATGGCCAAGCGACGTACGGCAGCTGCCCAGGAGCGTATGAGACTCATCAGTCAGCTTGCACGTAAGGAGAAGCGGGATGACAATTTTGGCATGCGTGATGAAGACTGGGATGTCTACAAAGCAATAAATAAGGTAGTAATTACTATAGAGACTTTGATGTGAGATTTTAAAGATAGTAGATATCATATGTTGATTCATTGTAGACACTTAACACTTGCACACACAGCAACTTTATGCAATGCCTATTAACCACATGGGTGGTGCCTATCCCACTCATCTCATACTCTGTCATTTAACCTTCTTCTTCTATGGCCTCCTTAATTCTCCTCTTCCATTCAGTCCTATCCTCTGCTGCTCTGTTAGGTCCGTCTGTCCGAGGCTTTGATTGAGGTTTCGAAACATCTTCCTTTTTATGGTGCAAGGTTGTTAGCCTTCCAACTAACCCCCAACCTGGAGGACCAGGGTACCTGTCTTAGTCTGACCTCTCCCCCTTGACCAATCTGGCTAGGGAGGCCCTACCAGTAGCTATGCTACCACCAGCATAGCTCTTGGGATCACAGGTGCTCAAGCCCCACCACCACAACAAGGTGCAGGTACCATTAAGTGGGGCTGTCATTTAACCACCCTAACAATTTTATGCAAAGAGTACAAATTATGAAACTCCTCATTATGTAAATTTCTCCAATCTTCTGTTACTTACTTTTTTCTTAGTATCAGATATTCTCCTTAGAAGTAGATAATTTTCATTATGTATGAAATTAAGGTGCAAAAATATCATAAGTGAACATATTTGTGAATAGTGAAATGCCAGACCTTTCAATCGTAATGGTAAAAACTTTATGAAACCTTCAAACTTTGTCATGTAACCTCTATATTCACTTACTTTTCTAGTAACATCAAGTCTGAATTTTACCTTTTATAGTTTGTTACAATATTTATGTTAGAAATTTTATACTAATTTATAAACCTACTTTCCTTCATGCATGTAGGAAGGAGGAGACTCAGACAGTGATGAAGAACAGAAACTGCTTGAGTTGGAGGATGTACTTCGTCACCATGACCCAGAATTTGAAGGTTCTAGTTCATCAGGGACTGCTGGAAGTGGCAACTGTGGTAACACAGCTGAAACTCACCAGCTTCATGTAGGCATTGAACGTATTCGGGCCCCTGAACTCCTCTTCCAACCATCCATGATTGGCTCAGGAGAGGCAGGACTGGCAGAGACCATAGAATTTGTTTTGCGTGGATATCCAGCTGATGTTCAGACTGCACTGGTGAGCAATGTCTTCCTGACTGGTGGTTGTGCAGCATTCCCTGGTTTTACAGAGAGACTTCATCGTGAACTGCAGGAGATGCGTCCATTCAAATCCACATTCAGTATCACCACTGCTGCCAACCCAACACTTGATGCTTGGTATGGAGCTCGCACATTCTCTTCTTCTCCAGATCTCAGCCAGTATCTTGTCACCAGATCAGAGTATGAGGAGAAAGGTGGCGAGTATCTAAAGGAACATAATAATTCCAACAAATATTATCCCTCACCAACACCCCTTCCTCAAGCAGAGACCATTCCATTAGCTGTTAGTGGAGAAGAAATTGAAATAGATGTGTTCTGAGTACTGATGTACCAACTACAAAGTAACTTGTAAAGAATGATGTTTATAGTTTCAAATAAACATTAATAAAATGAATATACAAAATTTATCTAAACCTTTCTTTATTTTACAAATAAATTAGGCAATCCTTACTTGTGGAACCTTTCAGAATCTATAAAAATTATTGTGCTTGTGACTTCATTTTCTGTGACGGTCAATTTACAGCTGTAAACTCGCACTCATTCCACGATTTCTTGTTTGTAAAGATTATTCTGTCATAACTCATTCACCAGAGACTTGTTTGTTAGAATGGGGGTGATGTGAAGGTGAGGTTGAAGCTAATGTCAAACGCCATTACACTGTTCATGGAATAATGAGATTAGAAAGATCATGGTAGTAATACTGTATCTTGAATACCTTGGTGTGAATACAGAACAGCCATAATAGTAAATGTATGCCATCTTTAATATTACAAATCAAACAGTATACCACAAATTTAATTTCTTCATTTTAATGTAACTAGATATATGAATTCTATATGAAGCAAAGAATCCCTTAGTAAAGTGCAGTATTATTAAACTAAAAGAAAAATACTGAAAGGTTAACTAATGTCTCCCAGACACTTTTGCCCATTTTATCCTGAAGTGGAACAACATTCTTGTTTGTCCCCTCATGGGATGATTCTGTTGCTGAATATTCAGACTCTATTTCAGTACTTGATTTATTGAAGCAGGAGTATGCCACATGGGAAAGAAGTGTGGAAGAAGTAATGAAGATATAAAAGTGAAAAGATATGTATCACCTGGACAAAATGAGAACATTTTTCAGTCAGTCAAACGAAGTTATCATAAACAAACTGCCGAATAGGATCTAGACCTGTAGATAATCTACTACTTGAAGGGGGAGGGACAGAGTTTCAGGAAAGTCTATGTACCATTGCAGTTCTCAAATTTTTGGTGGTAAAGCAAAGATTCCTGGGTATACCTCATAAAGACCACGTTCTTGATGCACAGAAAATACAGGAATAAAATGGGAACATTTAATGTCAGTATTTTTTTAGGTTTAAAGTTTTAATATATCATAAATTAATATACAAAAGCCTAATAACATCACATACTATCTAGAGATCTGACTAAAATAATGACTGATCTTTTAACTCTCAAGAACTATGGACTGTTTAAATCACTGAAATTGTCATCAAAGACATAACATCCCAGCTGTTCCTACGAACATGCTACTAAAACAATGAAATAATAATTATTAAGAGAAAAATACAACCCTACACCTACTTGCTAAGTGGCTCAAGCCTCCCTCTGTAAGAACAATAATCCAATATTTTTCCACAGTAACAGTGGTTCCAACACTAGCCATACATGACATGGTGGCTATTAATACAATCACACTGTAGGATAATTAGGATACTTCCATCCAATAAGAAGTAAATGCTATCCCCAAACAATAAATATGATGGCAACAGTTGTGGCACATACTAGCAGCAGTGAATTCTGAGCCAAAAGAGCCACTTGTGCAGCTGAAATAAAAAAGACTGATTGTAGAAGCATATTTAATTTGACATGAGACTTAGTAATGCTGCTCATCTTGTGTATGATAGGCTATAAATGCCTTTTACCGATGCTATATAGTCTGAGCTACTGACACCAGTATCAAAAAACTACAAATAAATTTCACTTTTTGTTATTCCACAAGGCATTTATCCCCTTAGATGTGCTATATTGTTAGCCCAATGGCCAGCAGGAGCACCAAATGCAACAACAGACCCAGACAACAAATATGAACGCTACAGATAACATAAGGTTTTCATATTTAGAAACGGATAAATCCTTCATGAATATTCCTCCTGCAAACCAGCACATTCTATCACCCCAAGATGAATGGGCATAACAACATCAGATCTTAATTATTAGACTACCAACTGAAAACAGTGAAGAGTGATGAATTTTCACTTATGTTTGTATTCTGAGCTGTAACACATTATTATTGTTCACTACAAAATGAATACAGCAGCAAAGAAGACTGATGCAGCACACCAACACCGATTCAAATTTGGTACATATTTTCTTAAAAATAAATATGTAAAACAGATATAAAGATGTTTACATATGCATATTTTAAAAACAATGTATAACTTTGCAATACACACTCCACTATACTGAAATTAAATATTATTTGTTGGTTTCCATGGCCTACTATGATCATGAGTTATATTACTGTCCATCTATGACTTCAACAATGGCTATAGAGTATATGCAGGTCTAGAATATCTGCTCGTCATTAACTGTTCCTTAACAAAATAAAATCTAAAAATAATCTGTACTTCCTATACTACATATAAATAATATTTCTGCACAACCCAATATTTCATATTTAACTAGGATTCATAATTCCTCTCTTAAGACAGAATTTCCTCATGTACAATTCATACCAACTAGTACATGCTTGATTATCTCAAGAATTGTGACGCTAAATTTTAAAGTGAACTGTTTGTCAGTTTCAATAAGCATTCAGGAATTCCTGTGCTTAGGAGAAACTATCAATGTGCCTAATAAAAGAAATCAGACACTACATATTTGTTAACTACAGCACGTTTATCACACTTCACATTCATAATTAAACGACAAGTACCCTTATAAAATTTATAGAAAGTACAAACAATGTCTTAAATTGGTTATGACAATCTGACTTCTTGCACATAACATGTTGTACACATTTACAGTTATATTTTTGTCTTCTTTGTTTCTGGTGAAGGTATTTTAAGTGGTGCAATGTAATATAATTTGTGGGCATAAGTTCCTGCTGGCAGTAATGCATCCAGAACAAAATGAGTTATTATTGCTGTCATTCCCCAAATCCTGTGTTCACCCCCAACAAATACTGGAAGAACATGACCATTGCGAAACTGTGTAGATTTGCAATTATCAAGATTGATTAATTGTTTCAATGGCATGGTAAAAACAGACTCAACCTCCTTTCTATTTAATATTAATCTTTTCATAGACACTTCTCCAAGATATCCAATAAATGGCATTACAGCCATGTCCTTCTGCCTTGTACCCACAAAAAATCCATTACCCCAGACATCAATCTGAGTTCTTTGAATCCCAAGTTCTTCAAAGGTCTCACGAAGAGCTGTTTCTTCTAAATTTTCATCTGTTTTGTCTTTAACACCACCAGGAAATGATACCTGCCCTCTGTAGCTCTTCAAGTCTGATGAACGCAGTGTGTATAAGAAAGATAACTCATTATTAACCTCACACAAAGGCACCAACACTGCAGCTTTCTTTAATGGTTCCATTCCATATAGCCAGGCTGGTTTCATTGTTTTCAACTTGGTAATACAGTTTTCCCGATTCTCCTTGCTCAGTATGAATTCTTTTGGTATTGTTCTGCCTTGATTAATGTTCCTAACATTATTAACTCTTAGTCTCGAGCCAATAAACCAGTATCTCATATGTCCGATATACATAACCTGTTTCCAGACATGTGTTGGTAATATAGATATTGAAAAGTAAATCATTTTGCCCTTGCAGAGGATGAAAAATCCGGTGTACATTACGTGCCTAACTTTGCCCCATTAAAATAAACATACTTTCTTATCCTTCAATTCTAAAGTTCTCTATTAAAAAAATTATTTAAAATACGTCTAATTTACCGCCATTTTGGATCTACATACATGACCAACTCCACTGGTAAGTAGACCCACTGCAACGAAACAAATTGTCCACTGAAAAGAAATTTATTTTTTACGAAAGTATTAGTCTTTTTCAGATTTGTTTTTCACCGCGAGGAAAATGTGGACTGTAGTATTCTCAATTTTGACGTCAGGTAGTCTTCTACAAAAAAAAAAGTACGGTAAGGACGTATTTATCTCGCACGCTTCCGTTACCTATCACAGATAACACCAACCATCTTTAACCAGATCAATTCAGTTCATATTCCCATACTTCTTGCTCTAGAACCATCTTTATTGTACGCCTTAGTCTCACCTTACCCCATGCATACGTCCCACCCATATTATTTTTGATTTTATCATTCTAATAACATGTGCTGAAGGGTACAAATTACTAAGTTCCATATGCATCATCTTCTGGGTAGAATAATCAATCTTATTTCTCCCCAATTTGAGTGTTAGGTGAGGCAGAAGAGGCGGATATTGACATTTTTCGTACTCTTTACACTTTAGCATAAGCTAAGAACATATTAGGGACCCATTTATGTCTCACACCTTACACACATGAAAAGTGATCATAGAAAACTGATTTTATTAACTGCTCTACTTTCACACTTTTGAATTCCATTGTGCTCCAAAGAATACACTTTTCCAACAATGTTTTTCTAATGAAAGAATAGAAAAGTAAATTCATAAAGCAGAAAAAATGTGTACTTTTAAAACAATTTATAGGCTTGCCTTTAAAATCTCAGCAAAGAACTTTGTTCTTTATTAATATCTACAAAAACTAATGCCTAAGCAAAATATTGCCATTCAAAATGGGGACTGCCCAACAGACTTATTAAAATTTATGATGATGATGAAAAACAATTACTTAATGAGGATCCACATTCTTATTTCAACAGGTATATAACCAATCACTTACGTGTTACTCATATACTTATCAATAAGGCATATTCATACATCATCGCAACATACATATGAATCCAACAAAGTTCCTCACACTTACTTGGAAGCCATTTTCTTGTATATTCTCATCCACAGGTTATTAAATTGTGTGTTGTCAGGCTACTGTATGTCAACTTTATCACTTAAAAATTTAACGTACAGTATATCACATGTGGCTCTAGTATATTTTTCTCACACACATACTGAATGCCAAGAGAAACCTTCGTTCTAATAATCCGCCTTGTATTTATTGTAACATATTTTCCTGTATGACAGGTTCGTCACTTATCCAGTCATCATAGTAACCATTTCCATGGCTTTACACAATACCTGTTGCAGAGAGATAAGGAATGGAATTATGAGTAGCAACAGCAAAGTAGAACAAACGTTATTTCACATTTTATTTTGTAGTCTTATTTTTAAAAGTGCAGGCTAATAACATTCATTGTTGCTGTATTCTAATTGAATGCAGAAACAAATACTGACATAACTACAAGTTTATTCTTCACACGGACCGGTCTTCGCTATGACAAGATCTGAAACAAAATAAATTATGTATATTAATGACGATAATCACTTCATTACATATTAATTATCAAGATTTCAAAGATGGCCCTGAACCATAGAGTCAGTACAGAATTTTATGACATGTATATTAATAATAATAATAATAGTAATCCGTGGCCTAACAGCCCTTTGAGAGCCAAAGCTGGCTGCTGGCCTCACGTTCACATGCCTAAGCAGAGGTGAACGATCATCCAACCAGATACAGGATGACGTGTGGTCAGCACGACGAACCCCCAGCCATTGCTAGCTTTCCTGACCGGATTACGTTACCCATTGTAGCTCCCCGATTTCCTCACGCTGTTGGGTTGGCACCGGTCGAAAATCTCGTGAGCAATTTCTTTCCCCGAGACTCGAACCAGCGCGCATTCCATATCACCTGTCTGAAGCGTGATGCCTCAGACCGCGCGGCTATGGCGCGGGACACATGTATATATTATACATAATTAATAATATGAAGATTTGTTACTTAATAAATGGAACTCTCTGAGAACCTCACATGTTTCTTATCAGTCTAAGACTCACCAAACCCTCGTTTTGCTTTTGTCTGCAAATATCACTAGCACAATCCATTCAACACAAAAATTATCGGACTAGAAATCTCATCGCATATCAGCACGTTCAAACCTTACCCAACTTTGCTTTACCAAGAATAACAACATATAATAATAAATTCCTTTCATGTGGGTTAAATTATTGTGCTCAATGAACGTAACAGAAGCTCTAAAATACCAAAGTTTCAGATTTTCCGTGTTATCATGGTGATACAAAGTGTGTGATGTAATGGAATGTTTAATGATGGTTTTGAAAAGCGCGAAAGTGGACATGTAATCTCCTCAGAAGCAATAAACAAAATTATTTTGATTTGTTTAACTATATTGAAAAAACAGAAAAATTTTAATTGTAAGTTTCGTTTTGTGCAGTGTGAAATAAATTATATGGATAAATTATGTACTTACAGTCCTTCTACCAGAAAAAAATATATCTGAGGCCTGTTTCAATACGACTTTGACAGCTGCCCCTGCGTTTAATGTTTAGAAACTAGAACAGTAGCATTATTGCGTTTTACCAGAATAAAATCCATTTGCAAAATATTAAAGAAAAGAATTATACATTTCTTACGGTTATCATCCAATTGCAATGCTGCTGCCATGAGACTAATGTATTTTCTAGACATCTGAAATTAAAATATTATCCCAACATTACACTCACCAGCTTTGCCTCTTTCAGTCTTAACTGCACACTTCAGTTCACAAGGATTCGAATACGTTTTTCTGTCCGTACCACAAACTGGACTATAAATCCTAGAGCAAGGACACCTTCCACTTTTCTCACTTTTAGCTGCGATGATGACAAATGCCAAGTACGTCGTCAGGAATATTATTATTGATTTCCTCATGATACTGCAACATGATCAAAACAATTTAAACTTATTCGCAGCGGAACACAGAATGTTTAGTTCTTTCCTGCCGATACATTCTTCTGGGAAAAAGGTTTCCGTGAATACCAATGATTAATTGACCGCTGTACATTACATTTATAGGTTTTATGTACCAGCTGAATGTGAAATTATGAGTGTACACTTCTGTTGTTTATAATATATATTATATTATAATACTGTGTGTATTATGGGAACAAAATCCCCGATCCTAAAATTAATTTAATTGCTGAATGCAGAAAGGACCTGGGTCCTTTAAGAGTATTTTTGAGAAATTAACAGGAAAAAATTATTTAACCAGACTGGTGTATGTAGTTTGTGGTTTTGCTGGAAACCATACTGAGCGAGGAACTTCGTCATTTATTACTCCTCACTTAATATTCCTAAGGTATTTAAATAAAGAACAATGGGATGGGAAGAACATTTAAGACGTAAAGGGGAAATGAGAACGAGTATTATCTTATTTTACTTATTTACGGATTATTTTATGTTCCTGTCAAATTTCAGATTTGACAAGAAGATTATCGAATAATGAATTAGAAGAGATATGGAAGGAAGTGGCCATGGTCGCTTTCCTGGCACTTGTCTGGAGGGACTGAGGAAGACTATGAAAACCGTTAGTCAGGATAGCCTGTTTTCCTGGCCAACGTGTAGATGGGAGGATTATCTTAAAATGGCTCCTACGTGAATCGAATCAATGGATGGGGTATTTGTAATCAACAATTTCATTTTATAGTGATGTGGGCTTTTAGATATCGACATTTTAATCTCCTCAAACACTTATATTCTCAGTTAAATAAAGTATTAGTTATCTTAAATTCTAAAATTTGTTTAGTCCTTATAGAGAGGTTTTATACTTATCGACAATTTATGGTCGCTTTAATCCTGAGTAAAATGTTTATCAGTTACTACGATTCATAACCAAGTCAGTCTTAAAGAAGCAAGGTGTCGTGCTGCTGTCACATAAGTCGTTCATAAAAATAACGTTGCTTAATAATGCTTTCATTATTAATACAGTTAATTCAGTAACCAAACTGAATATATTATTATTCTTATGCAACGCACGCAATTTGTTACCCTTTTGAACTGCGCTTACTGACAAATAACATTTCATCCTCTGGTGACATATGGTAAACTATTGTATCAGTGTAAAATAAACTATAAGTGAATAATGTTTACTTACTCTGGATTTTTCTTTACAGAGCAGGAACACTTCTCAATGTGCAGACCGTCTTCTTGATAATAATAACAGCTTATTTCATCCAAGTGAGAAATATAAATTTTCCCATTGGAGTAACGTGGATGGAAAATCCGATATGACGTGTAAACAGATAACACTGCAACTCGTAGCTGATAATGTCAAGTGAATGCCTACGATATTCTCTGTTCATGTGAAATGATTATAAAGTATTGTCTGTCTAAGCGGAGAATTGACTCGATTTTGAAGCCGTGACATCATGGTGAATGCTGCCATAAAAATGTTCTCACTGTTAAAGTAATCTGTATATTTGATACAATGGGCGTGTTACCTTTGACCCGGCTAATAAAATAATTTCTATACAAAATATTAGGTTCTAAAATACAAGCATGAGGCGAAACAGTAGCAATGTCTTAAACGTTTTGAAAACTGAGAGTCTACCGACGTTTCTATGTCGAATTTTTGAACGGCTATACTATTGAACTGATGGTACTTCTGTTTGAAGGTCGAATTAATTCTTCGCTCAGGCAGAAAGTTATAGCGGTTGTTCATATTGAAATAAACCACGGAGAGCAGTGGATTATTCTAGAACATTTCAAGTCTTATGACCAGGAGTCTCATTCGCATTAAACATTGTAGCAATTACAATGTTTAAGAAAGCTGTCTTCTAGGATGTTTCAGAGGAGCTTAAATCCCAGATGATAGCCATTTTCTCCTAAGAAAAGTGTTTTGTATGTGAATTTTGGAAGCTTTATGGCAAAGAATTAAGTGGGGCGTTTGTGTATTCCATTATCGAGTATATCCATCTTTGAACTCTAGACTGTAGTACATAAAACCATCAATCACAGA